CCGTGGGCGCTGTAGTAGTCGCCGCGGTCGAAGATGCGCACCGTCTCATCGTCCTTCTCAGGCAAGTTGCGGAAGAACTTGCAGAAACCCGACTCATCCTCTTCCTTGATTTCCGGTCGGGATGCCATGTTGATATGCGGTAGGAAGACAATTGCGGGGTGGGACGACAGAGGAAAGAAGGGAAAAGTTGGCGATGATTGGGCGCGCCTGCCGTTAATTGACTGAGCGCGTCGACGCGTCCAGTTCACGCTAGTCTTATCGATAACACTAAGCTCCTCGAGGACACACGGGGCGGCCGTCATCATCAACCTTCCGCAAAATGCCCGCGAATGCCAGATTCATCTCCGATTTCGAGGCTCGTCATCGCTCATCATAATCACGATCACTTTAGCTACGATCTGTTCGCTCTGGAGTCGTCTCCAACCCCTTCGAACACGCCTTCCCTGCCCCGATACCCTCTGCAACTGCAAGATAGATCAATTTGGTACACAAAGAGCATTGGAAAACAGCTACGACGGCTACAGCAGCGCATAAGGTAAGGAAATGGGTCAAGAAGGCAGGCAGTTGCATTAGTAGACTCCGCGCTTTCAAGATGAAGTGCGAATCGATCCCAAGGCTTCACGCTTCGAAGCCACTACGGTCGGGACCGTCTCCCAGAAGCTTCTTTCTAATCTTGGGCACAGGATCATTTCGCTCTCGGCGACTATGCCAAACCAGATGCAGCAGCCGCATGAGAGCTGCGAAAGCACGAGATGTCGAAGGAAATGAGCTCCATGCAACGTGTAAGATTGTTGTAAACTCACACTACATACCTTAGCAGTCGGCACACCAAGATCGGTGTATTATGACTATACAGGCGCTCTACGACGATAGTATGGCAGGTCGCCCGAAAAGAGCATGATGCCCAACCTTGTGTTGTGCCTGCGCAGCCACTCCTTTCTTTCACATGCGGAGTGTATGCGGAGGTGTGTGCGGGGCCCCAAAGTTGAACACGATTACTCACACCCTCACATCACCATTATATCGACCGTCGGGTGCATTCGTAGTGTTGCGGCTCTTTCTCGTGCGTCGTTGCGCCCAGAAACCTTGGCGACAAACTTCTCGGTCTCATTGACGCTGGTTGAGCCGCCAAGGTCTTGGATTGAGCCGCAAGCCTGCGGTACCGCATTCCCTATTTGGCACTTTTTGTCATCTTTGTGATAAGCAAGGTGTTTGCGCGCCAAATTTGAACGACTTTGTATCCGTAGGTGTTTCGGTCCTCGGTGATGTTGTGGAGATCGCGCGGATGGCTTTCGGGATGGGTGGTTGTTAGGAGTCACACTTGACTTCCTGTATTTAATTTGATGGATACTTCCGTCTCCTCATCCATGCCGAAACTCTGATTACTCGCCTTCGGTTCCGCTGCTCAACGTTGTCGTGAGTCCCGTTACGAATCGCCTCAGCCACGACATCAACATGGCCCACAGATCAACATCACCAAGACTTGTACTGCCTCATAACCTCTTGCCAATGCATGTCCAATCGAACCCCTCCTCTGGGACAGCAACACCTATTAATGCAGTCCCGACAACTCTTTCATCGATGCAAAGTCAACACCGGGCTCACAACATGCACCAACCAACCAACAATGCCTATAGTCCTCAGGAGTCTTTCGAGATAGTCTCGCGCATGGGCGTCAAGAAGGCGTATATGCGTGTCGACAAGAGCTTCATCAGTGCCTGCTCCGCTGGCATGATCTTGTCTTTCGCATGCGCAACGCTCATTTCGACCAACACCTCGCCATGGTACCAGGAGAATGCTCCAGGCCTGATCAAGACAATTGCCGCGCTCGTATTTCCGTACGGTCTAGTTATCGTACAGATGACTGGCAGCGACCTGTGTACTGGCAGCTTCATGTACACGACCGTTGCTGCGTTACATCGGCGACTCAGCATCTGGCGGATGTTGAGGCATTGGGTGGTAACCTTTTTTGGAAACCTAGCGGGGAGTTTGTTTGTGTGCTGTGTAATCGTCGGATGTAAGTCTCTGATAGCAGCAGCGACCTGGAAGTTTGAAGCTGACATGTTGTGATAGACGGTGGATTGTTCGACGGAAAGCTATATCGAGAAGAGTCGCTCCACTTCGCGTACAAGAAACAAGTCGAGCCAGAGTGGTACCAAATCTTTCTCAAAGGCATCGGCGCCAACTGGTTGGTCTGTCTAGCTTGCTTTCTCGGGTGTTCGGGTCGCGACTATGTTTCTAAGGTGGTAGGGATATGGTGGCCAACGTTTGCGTTCGTATCTCTGGGCTTTGGTAAGTACCACACGTTCGTGTTAACGTCTACAATTAGCTGACATTGCATCAGACCACGTTGTCGCCAACATGTTCTTGATACCCAATGCCATCTTCCATGGTTCACCAGACATTACCATCGGCATATATGTCTGGAAAGGTATTGCCCCTGCACTACTTGGCAATATCGTCGGCGGCGGCTTCTTTGTTGGGGTCCTCTATTGGTATTTGCACCTGCAGGGTCACGACGATGCTACCATTGACGGCCAGCGATACGAATCGATGACGAGAAGCCAGCAGGACTTGAGTGCATGGATAAGACTGAAGGAAAGAAAGGATGTAGCGGAAAGTCGGGAACAGGTTTGAGAAAACGGCGGTTGGGTTGCAGAAGATAGTCGGAGTTCGCGACGCAGTTTGAGTTCGTGATGGTCAAGCTGGTGACGTCAATGCTGGTACGTGCGCACAAGCTCTTTAGCTTCGGTAACGTGAGCGAGGGCTCCTGTCATCTCCATGCGCAAGGACATACCCCGCTAGAATCAGTTAATAAGACATATCTACCTTCACTTTCCCATCACCTCGTATCCACGGTATGGTGTGTCTAGGCCGAACAGCTGTCATCAGCACGGTTCATACGCAAGCCGAGCGTTCAGCTAGGACTGTTGAGCGATCAGGTTTCGTCACATCATCATATTGGTTGGTCTAGTTGCGGAGCTACTAATACGTATAGCAGAAGATACCTGATCGTACATCCATAAGCTCCGAGACCTTGATATCCGGGGCTAGACCTCCAATCGAAATCCTATCGTCGAGACTGGCTTGCTGTTTTGATCTCGGCCTGACAGTACCTTTGTACATGTTTTGTCGCCGTGGTGAGTCGTATTGTTGCCACCGCCACCAAATCCTGTCGATTTGCGAGTGATGAAGGAAGAATATCGGGTCTGTTAATCATTAGCAGATGGTTCGGCAAAAAGTGGTCGCTATGTTTGTCTGACCATTTGGCGACGTCGAAAGCCGAAAGTCCCCCAGTATAAACTTTGGGATCGCAACGTGCGGGCCATTCTCGAATCGCAGTGTGAACCGAAAGTAGTCGTCTTCAAGCAGAAGCTCTTCGACCGCTTCAGGTCGCAACAGTTGCGACAAATTCGCGATCGGCTCTCCCGATCCAAAGTCGCGGGTCAGGCAGTGAGAAACCAAGACCGGGCCAGCGCGTGCGACTTGCATATTACCAAATCGGCCATCCTCGACGCAATGGGTGCGCGGGAAATACATACTGGGCTCCGGGCTCTCAAGACCGTTACCAGAAAAGCCGTGGTCACGATCCCATACCGGTGCAGAAGTTAGCTCCTCCCAGTCTAGAGTCCAGTCCCAATATCTATATGATGTTAGCAAAACGAAAGAGCTGATGTGGTAATAGCCGTACGGTAGTTGTCCAGTGTAATGACATTGTTCCACGAGCGTGCGATGATAGGTATGAATGAAATACCGGTGCCAGACAAGGAAAGGTGCAGCGAAGTGTACTGAGCGTCTTCGTAAGTGTCCTTTCTCTACACAAGTACTGCGAACTTACTCTCTTCATCAAATCGGTGATGCACGTAAGCGAAATCATCATACAGTGTCTGATTCGGGTTCAGTCGCGAAGGCTTCGTTCGGAGACAGAAGACCGCGTCGATGTAGGCGTCCCTTTCCGCGATGCTCAGACTTCTCCACTCCCGACGGATGAGTGGTGTGGTGCATGTAGTTTCGATTGTTTTAGTGTGCGTGTTGGAACTGATCGGTACTTCCATCCAAAACAGCCAGCTACCGAAGAAGCCAAAAAGTACACTTGCTATGCAGAGGACGATGCACGATCTGGAACCCGTCATTTTTGCCTTTGTGCACCTCTTCTGAGTAGTGGATTGGAATGGTGAGGCTTCGTACGCGTAGTCCAAATCATCGCATTCCTGTCCAGGTGATACACTATGGGAAGGTAGTAGTGTCTCGTGTTCCATGGCGCCAGTACGTTGTGAATGCTACGAGGTAAGGAGATCCCAGCGTATTAATGCCCCGCGGCACAAATTGCCACGTGTGGGATGGCGCGAGCGCACCTGGGCAGTGTGCAGATGCAAGACTACATCGCGCATGCATCAGATTACTCGGGGTTCATTGGCGTTCCAAGATTGTCTTCCTCGTCAGAAATGCAGCACCTTTACCACATTTTCGGTGACAGCCTTAGTCCTAGACCTGGTATCATACCCTTGCCGTATCATCAGGTACGAAGGCCGAATTTGCACTCGCTTTATTAAATCGCACATCAGTGTTGAGGCGAATATAGGGTCATACCCAAGTGAAATGGGGCGCGTCCGTGCGTGCGAAGATCCAATGACGAAGAGGTAACTCCGCAGCTCCACTTTCTATTTACATCTCCACGCTGGAAGCTTCGCATTTCTCCTTCCTCCAAGCCATCACCAGATAACATACACTTAAACAGGCTTAAGGCGTGCTGTCACAACCCCTCCATGCGCACACTGTTGTTGGCGCGAACACAGTCGAGACCCTGCTTTCGCGAAACCTGAACGGCTCAAACATCCATTGTATACAACCTCGGGCATCCCACGTCATCTGCTCATTTCAATCTGGGTCGTGTTCTCATTCGAATCATATACTGCGTACAAAACAAGTGACAAAACGTCCTCCTAGGTGCCCATCATCCACGATATAGCCACGTTTACATCTTCATAGACTTTCGGACTTTAGTCCTTACGGCGCCATTGATACACCATGCCATCATCGTCGTCGCTGGTAGTATGCTCCCATACGATCACAGGCTTGAAGCCCGGCGCAGGATCTGCTTCGGAAACGGCAGCGGCATCTATCGCGAAATTAGCTTCAATATTGGCCGAGGATGCTGCTGTCCCTTACCGCGCTTGGGTTCGACAGGCAAAGCGTTGGCATAGAAGCCACACGCTGCCAAGCCAGCGAAGAGGAGGGTGGAGAAATGCATGCTTGTCGCTGTCAGAAGTAAGAGATTTCGAATGTTATTCTGGACTTTGGATTGAAGCGTCCTGGCTAGGGTGCCACGCGATGAGCTTCTTGTATACCGACTTGTACATGATCGAGAATGTTCGCTGAGCTTTATTCTGTTCTGGCATCGCATCGCATCGCATCGCATCGCATTGCATTGCATTGTACACGTCAACTAGCGACTGATCCTTCGTATCGATGCGAAGGTTGAATCGTTGCAACGGTCACCATTTCTCCGGAGTACATTGACCATGAGGCTGCCGTGCCGCAGTGGAGGCGTTGACGCTAGCCGATCGCTATGTCAAACGATCCAATGAAGTAACAGCCGAATCTTACTTCCTGCTCAGTGGCGCTCGCGTAGGCTGTCACCTGCATCCGTCTGTAGTGCTGACCAACAGCATGCATATGATAGACGCTGCATCGACTGATTTGGGAGTCTCCTTACAGTTCCCGAATCCTTAGGCTTAGACAGCGCACCGGCCTTGTACTTGCTGCTTTAATGTGTCTCCGACACCTTGAAGGAACATCTGTGCAGCACGCGGCAGTTGATGATTGAAAGCACTGGGAAAACAGCTGTGGACTTATTCATATGTGGCTCTATGCACGTTTTGTGTCCTGAAAATCAACAAAATGGCGAAATTTGAGGGCTACCTGCCGGTTTCCTCGTCTGAAAACGATACTGTCGGCCACACAATCAACGAAAGACCGGGTTCAAAGCTGCGAAAGATCTTACAGGGCTCTGCGCTCGCTTTGGGCGCATTGGGGGCGCTAAGCCTTGGCTATTCACTCGGGTCGCGACATGCTCACGCCGCTACACCTACTACGATACGTATGATGTACACCGTCCTTCCAAATACTCCAGAGCTCATATTCTGACAGTACCTGCTGGTGGTTTGCATTATTACATGCAGTTTAACAAGACATTTCCTCAACGCCCAGACAAAGAGAGTGATGCGGCATGGGCGTCCTTGTTCCCTGATAAATTGGGGTTTGTGCAACACCCGGAACTTGCACCAAACGTAGCAGGAATTGCCGTTTTCCATGAATTGCACTGTTTAGCAAGTAGCTACCTTTGTCAGTGTAACTCTGGATAATAGCTAACGGTGTGTCAGAATATGCTCCGACAAGCATTTTGGGCTTCTGTCGATGGAACGCTGGTAGAGATGGGCGATGAATCTCGTGAGAAGAACCATCGCACCAGTCATCATCATGTTCGCCATTGTTTTGAATATCTCCGACAGTCCCTCATCTGCCTTGCGGACTCTAACTTGGAGATGATGAACTACACTGCGCGTGGTATCTCCGGATGGCAGACTGAAAGAACTTGCAGAGACTATGAGGAGCTCACAGATTGGGCGGACGAATGGGGCATTACAAGGGAAGAAGCGCTCCAAAATCACGATCTTGCACTAAATTTTGTCGGCGAGGGTGATGTGGTGTAGACAAAGAACAGTAGCTGCATGCTACCAACTATCTCTACATATGTGGCTTGGTTCTCTCCGTGAAGTGTTCGGGGCCAACATCCTCAGGCTTGACCAGAGCCCCTTCAGCAAAGATATCGATAGATCGGGCCTTGGTCCACTCCATCAGTGCGTCAAAATCAACGCATTGGTGAGAGGCCCAGCTACGAGCTGTCACGTCATTGCCACCACCCGAAAGATATGTGTATGTACCCAATGACACATCGCCCCTGCACATGATACCCTGGCGTAGAGTCTCGATGCAATGGTCTTGAATACGGTCAGTCAAACAAGTGAAGGAAAGTTGACACCGTGGGTACTTACTAATGTGTCGCTCCAGCTCATTGCGGGCTAAACCCTGCACGTCTTGGAAATAAGACTCTTTGTATATCCATTGTCGGATCTTTTTCTGCGCGTGTCGTGAGCTCATATACAGATCGCCGTCTGCATCGATGTACATACCAAGCAATGAAGTTCATGGGTCATAAAAGTCTCCGACGCGAAACCGGAGCCATCGGCTAAAGGCAAAGATGTGACATTGTAGTATGCGAGGTCTTCCGCTGAGACCCTGATGACGGTTCCTTTGGCAGTTTGTCAGATCGTGATACCATAGTTTTAGAGGCGAAGAGACTAGGTCTGCGAACCCTGAAGCAGCTCATGCCACGCTTGATCAAGCTCCGGGCTTGGGAAGCCTGCAAACGGTGTACCCGCCACGGTCAATGGAAAAACCCGGGTATGTCGACGAAACGCTGTACTCCTTGCTAAAGCTACCAGATCTGGTCAGCATCTGTTGCTAGATCAGACAGACTGGAACAGAGGTCTTACCAGGGAAGAGCTCTGGTCTGGAAGACTTAAATCCCGCATCTAAACGGGCGTAACGAACCCGCAACTCTATGTAAGAGAACCCTAAAACTGCTAACGCAAGTGCGCAAGCGATGAAGATAAGTCGCGTTGAGGCATTCTTTCGGTCGCGAACTCTGCCTCCGCGAAACGGCATGCTTTCATCATCAGAGGATGCGCACACCGACTCGGCGTCTCCAGTGTTTTCCACAAATTTCGGCATCAGCGCGTCGTGTTCTGGAACTCGATGACACCTCGTCGATGTTTTGACTACCTGAGTACCGGACATGTAAACAGAAAGGTCGATGCGAAGAATGACTAAAGAGCAGCTGATTGTCATTGGATTACTTTCCGAGGAACGTGGCGTTAAAGCAGCGGTTGGCGGAACACGTTACGGGTGCTCCGTGGAGTTGTCCGACAGAAGAGAGCGGTCCCTTCGCCTCGGCTGCGCGAGGCGTAGCAGCTTGGTGCGGCGTGGGCGATGCACGATCCAACATGAAAATCCACATAGATACCTAGGTACCTAGCGCTCTGCAACGTGGCAATCTGTTACACGACGTCGATAAACAATCGCCGAATTACTATTTCCTCGTAGTACACAGCGCTCCTCTTTTCCAGCGCGCTATAGTTACATGGTTGTAGTACCGTGCCTCTTGACCACCTGCACTTTAGCGAGGGCTAACCAGCTCTTGCATGAACCTGCAGCTGCATGGCGTGGAATCCGGCCAAGTTCGAGGCATTGTCACTGACGCTAATGCTCCTCGCTATCATCTCTGTTGTATTGAGATTCTGGGCGCATACGAAATCTGGTAACCGCATCGGAATTGATGATGTGCTCATAATCCCGGCCTTGGTAAGTCATTCCGCGTTGTGTCTCGCAACAAAACGCAGGGCTTAACCACTATTCAGATATGCACAATCGGCATGGCAGTTGCTCAGGTCATCGGTTAGTGACTGTGTACTAGACGTCTACCGTATCTCACGAGCATATAGGTACCCAATTTGGGGAGATGGCACAGCATCAAACCAACATCGAGGGGCCAAATGGTCCAGTGTACACAAAACAGCTAGAAGTATACGAGAAGGTGGAGACAGCTGTCAACAGGGGACGTTCGCCGCTAACATCTGCAGACAAATTATACCCTGCAACTTCTTGGCTTAGCTTCTCTGGCTTTCAGCAAGACGTCTGTACTATGCTTCTATCGACGAGTCTTCTACGTGTATCCACGTTTCCTATTCGCCAACAATATTCTTATCGCCGTCATTGCAGTCTGGGCCGTATCGCTCTTCTTCGTAATTCTCCTGCAGTGCCGAGATCCGCGAACACTCTGGACCTCTTTCGAATACGCGAGGGTGGAGTGTGTTGAACCACTACCTTTTTACTACGCTGTATCGATCAGTGGATTTCTCACCGACATTGCAATCTTGGCCTCACCAATCCCGGTCATTTGCCAACTGCAGATGCACTGGAAGACCCGTATTGCGGCGACATGTATTCTTTTATTGGGCGCAGTGTGGGTTCCCTTGTTCCATGATCATGACGCTCTTGCTGACCATGACTAGAGTATGCGGTGCTGGTATCGCACGTTTTGTTACTTTCATCGAGATTGGTCGAGGCATTATGCACAATTATGATGACATTACCTGTAGGTTTTGCCCAAAGTCAGCATTAGTCCGGAGAGTATAACTGATCCTGGTCCAGACTTTACCACTCCGATCTTTGCATGGGGCATGGTTGAAAGCTCATTAGCCGTAGTAGGCGCAAATCTTCCTCTCCTTCGACCATTGCTACACCGAATCGAGGGTACATGTTCTTGGCTCGGGCTATCCCTTTCCTGTCTCCAATCCAGATCTTCCTCCAGTAGTAGCACAGAGATAGGTAGTCCAGAAATTGGGACAAGAGTCAAGACAGAAGAGGCGCGGTGGGAGAGAGAAGAGTCCATTCGAAGCTATTTAAGCTTCGATTTACCTCCGCGTCGAGAGTTCTTCCCAGAGATGTCGTCTTAGGTCTCTAAGAGGGAGGATTCAACAAATGAGACTGGAATATAATGCTAATGAGACTCCAATGGTCAAGAGCTCAGATAGCTGTCGGCGGTCTGAAGTTCAAATGAAGTTCTCGCAACGTGCTCAGCACACCAAGAGTTGAAGGCCGTTCAAGCACATGCCCTCAAGGCCCGAATGCTCACTTCGTGATCTTACCTAGATAGCTTCTATATTTAACATGACCAAACAAACACGCGGTCATGTGCAATAAATGCGGCTGGGAAGGGTGCATATACCTCTTTGTGCGCTACAATGCTGATACAGTCTTGGCACATGAATGCAATGATGCAGTAGAGACCAAACTACGTGGCATTAAACGATTTTCGAGCTCGCGGGTTCTTCATCCCATATGGCTTCGAAGATCGCAAGTGCAGAACCTGGTGGCTGATGCAAGTCGTGAAACTTGAATCTTGCGTCGGCTTCGATAAGTAGCGCTTTCCACTCTTCCAACTCTCGCTCTCTAGCATTGCCTACTTCCAGCATTGTCAAATCCATCGCCCTGTATAAGAGGTCAATACCACAGATGCGGCTTTTGCGACCAGCTTGAGCTTACCTGAGCTTTCGATCAAGGCCGTTCGGCAATGCGCCAGGTGGAGGCATCACTGCATCGATGATCAGGATACGTGCGCCTTTCTTCAATGCGGGTATCAAAGCCCTGAGCGCCTTGACGCAGTATATATCCGGCCAGTTATGCAAGGTCCAACGGAAATAGTATAAGTTAGCATTCTTCACAGGTTGCTCTTCGAAGAAGTCATGCGCCATGAACCTCACATCTAGCCCTTCCTCTGTCTTTGAGTTCGAGATCACACCTGGAAGGTCCTGTACCACGAGCTGAAGACCTGGGTATTTTCGAACGAGAGCAAATGCCGCATCACCATGAGAACCTCCGAGATCGACCACAGTCCCCGGGACGATTGAAGACCAACAATAACCGTCTGTCAGATGGCGCAGAGAATATGCTTCACCAGTGGTAAAGGAGCTCATGGCACCTCCAAATCGGCGTGCGCGTTCGGGATTCTGGACGAGCACCTCATGAAATGGCAGGTTTGTCTTGTTGGCCAGCGAGAACCCCTAGCGACTTGTCAATAATGCTATAATATAGTCATGTGTACAAACTCACAGTTTGATTTGGCTCGGCGGCCTTGGGCCAGGTCGTCAAGGCATCAGTGAGCTTTTGCGTTGCTGGCCACAGTTCTTCTGTAGTCACTGCAACCCAATCTGACACTCGCGTATCGTTAACCATCTGTCGTGAAGCTGCAGAGTGCGCGATGAAGCCAGGACGGGGCTCTGTGAATATGCGAAACGCAATGCCTAGCCGCAGTATACTGGTGGTCGCCGCGGTGTTAATACCAATGGTGGCTGCGAGATCTTTGAAAGAAATCTCCCCGTCTATCGGCACCTTGTTCGCAAGACCAAAGCGAGAGATGAACTGCAGGTATGAGATGGCGTTGTGCTGACAGACATCAGTTTGTAAGCCGTGCCTCATCCTTTTGTTCCATACTGACATGATGATTGAAGATCAGATCTCTTGGGGTTTGGAGCAAATCGTTCAGCTCCTGAGTTGCTTCAAGGACGGCATTTCGCGACTCTTCAAGTTCCGACGGTAGCTCGAGATCAGCAGGACTGTCTGCGTTGAAGGACGGGTGCGGTAAGTTGTTCTTGGAAAGGTGCTCGTCTACTCGTTGGGTATGATGCGCGATATGAGCTGCAAGCTGAGCTATACGGCTCTTAGTGGTAGACATTTTGAACGGGACGGCTTTGCAAAGGTACAATGGGGCCTTCATGAGCGTAACTTATACCTTCCCAGGTTGGCACACAATGGCCTGTACCTAATGATTGGACGCATACACGACGAGATGTATGGTGTACATGGACTCATGCAGCAGGCATCTGGGTTTGACAGCCGCGGGTGGCGTGTCTCGGTAAAGAGTGTAGGTAGACTGGGCTGCTAATACCGAACACGTCCAGGTGGAGACTACCTAGTTATGGGGCGGCAGAAAGCACGAGGGTCGGCTCTATTGCACCTGGCAGGCCTAGGCGCAGGGTGACCGTAGCAGTAAGGGTTTTTGGTACCAGCATCGCATGCGAAATCTTGATATGTAGTACTTGCGATAAGTCGTGGAGCTTCGTGGTTCTGTGGATTAAGTGAATGATGAACGTAGACCCAGTGGCAGGAAGAAATTCGGGGGCTGGGTCGGGCGGCCGAACGGCCGGCACGCATTGACCAGCGCATTTCCCAGCTCCCTCAGCCCCCAACTGTGAGCATCGGACGACGTCACCATCGTACCTAGGTAATGTACACGCAGCATATTTGCGCACGATGTGCCATACATTGCGTATATGAGACCTCTAATATTTCCATCAACCTTTGAACCCAGCCGAATCTACCTAGGTAGCCAGTCGCGTCATCGACCCTGACAGGCCTACCTACTTCAGTCACAAAGCACGCATTCACGACAGATCAAACCCCGTATACCCGTTCTCCGCCGTCTCGTTGATCGTCTTGTAATAAGTCGGCACACCTCCGATGTACATCAATGGCTCTCTAGGCTTCCCAGGAATATTACTTCCCATGTACCACTATCGCAGCGTTAGTATACCACAATTCCTGATTCATTGGCTCGTTGCAACTCACAGAATCTACACTGGGCAACAGCGATGCATTTGCAAGCTTCCATATAAGCTCTTTCCACTGATCTTCGCTCTCCTTCTGGGCCACGATCTTACGAAGCGACTTCTCCTTCATATGGTTCATCATCTGCAAGATCCAGCCGCCTTGCAGCTCAGCGCACGTGGGACCATTGCACAGCGCAGTCGGCGCTTGGGGCCCATATGTGAAAAACATGTTCGGGAAGCCTGCGACAGCCATTCCGAGATACGTCTTTACGCCGTCCTTCCAATGCTCGCTCAAGCTCTCGCCTGACGGACCGCGGATATCGATCTGTTTCAGACCACCGGTAAGGGCATCGTAACCGGTCGCGCTGATGATGTAGTCGAACTCGTGTTCTTTCTCTGTGGTCTTGATGCCTTTCTCGGTAATCTCTTGGATTGGCGTACCCTTTTCGCTGATGTCAACAAGAGAGACGTTGGACTTATTGTACATTTCAAAGTACCCATTCTCCAGCGCGATACGTTTGCAACCGAAGGAATAGGGTTGCTCAATGGGAGCGAGTGTATCAGCGACTCTGTTGTTATTGATCTTCGCCCGCGTCTTGTCTCGCCAAAAGTTGTATGCTTCGCGGTTGGCTTCTTTGCTAAAAAGCATGTCTTGATAAGCCGCAAGCCAGAATTTGAAATCGCCTTCACTCCACAAGTCTTCGTAAACCTTCATCCTTTGTTCTGGCGTATCGTCGAATGTAGAGCGGGGGATGAACTCAAACGAGAAGCCTGAGAAGCGTGTTTTCAACGCTGCGAAGAAGTCCGGATACTCAAGCTTGGCGATGGCTTGTTGCGGAAGGTCGTAGTCGACTTGACGCATTGGCATTGACATGTTCAGTGTCCGTTGGAAGACTGTGAGCTGGCTGGCAGTCTTGCTCAGCTCCTGCGCTATTTGAATGCCGGTAGCGCCAGTTCCAATAACAGCCACCTTCTTGCCGCGGAGATCAGGTTCTTCATGAGGCCAAAATGAGGGATGGAGGAATGTGCCTGATCAAAGGTTAGTGAGTTTCACTGCGACGGCAATGTGATCCGACCTTTGAAAGAATCGATGCCTTTCCAATCGGGAATATGTCGCTTCGCCGCGAAGCCAGTGTTCAACAAAAGAAACTTCACCTTGTACATCTCGCCCGCCTTCGTTTTCACCGTCCACCTCGCTTCGTCATCACTCCATGTCGCAGACGAAACGAATGTGTCAAACTTGGTATCCTTCCGCAGATCCCACACCTTCGCCACGTGAGCAAAATAAGCGCGAAGCTCCGAGCCCGCTGGGAATCTCTGCTTCCATGTCCAATCCTTCCAAAGTGCTGGGTCGGAGAATTCGTAGTGGGGAATCGAGCTGTCGACACGAACGCCCGGGTACCGATTCCAGTACCATACACCGCCGTAATCGGATCCGTGCTCGACGAGCTTGACGTTATAGCCTGCGTCGCGGAGTATCTTCAGCTGGTATACGCCGCAGAAACCTGCGCCAACTATCAGGGCGTCGAGTTCGATGACGTGCGTGCCATTGGTGCCGTTAGCACTGCCGTTGAGGGACAATCTTTGGATATCTTCGATGGAGCCCATGTTGATATAAGACTTGAGCCACAGCCGCGCTGGTGGATGTGAAGGATGGAGCCGATACAATATTGATTGCACTGCAGGTTCGGTCGGGGAAGAGATGACAATGAGGGGAAGCTTATACGGATAGCAGACTGTTGGACTTCTTGCGTAGCTTAAAGGAATAAGCTGCAGTTCATCCGGGGTGTATTGGCACAGCGCATCGCGTGCGGGAGGGTAATCCTGCAGTTCTTGGTCTTGTTCATCAGGCCATACCTCGACGAATCCTTGTGCTCAGTCTCGGACTAGATCGGTGAGAGGTGGTAACACATTGCGTGCCCCGCTTAGTCTGGTACGGGGTCTTTCGGACATGGCACCGTTCTGGACCCGCCAAGATCTCTGCGGTACGGCACGCCCGTTGGACGGCTGGGGTCAGTTCCTGAAGCGGAAATGTGGGATTGCAGGAGGTTCAATACCTATCGCACGATACAACGTGGACGTCACATTGACATTGCTCCAAAGCACGAAGAGTGCACTCATCGCTACTGTCTTGTTGTGACACCAAGCTTGGCAGCGCCTGCAGCGGATATGGTCAGTTGCACAGCTACGGGTGGAGGATGTAAGACCCATGTAGTACTATATGCATCATGGGAGGTTCGGCCCTTTTATCATGGGGCCGACGAACCTGGCGCTACAGGCGGGGAAAGGTGGCGCGGGCACTCACTGGAGGAAGACCGTTTTGTAATCATGACATGCGTTGATGAGGGCTCTGCTGATGCGTCTTGCAAGCATGGCAGATCTTGCCGGGCGGTTTTGCACCAAACAACTTGAAGTCAACAATGCATCCGATGCCGGCCTATGTAAAGATCAAAAGAATGACATCAGCTGCCAGGCTTACACTCAAGTACGATGTGCATATCAGCGGTTACTATCCTCATGCTAGACATATTGACAGATGCATGTGTTATTCTGGTCTGAAGTCTGCGACATTGTACTTTCAAAGGCATTATAGGAATGTCGCACACGATAACAACGGATGAGACAGCTGCTCTGACGTGCATAACGTTCGTCGTTGTGACAGCGTCTAGTCACAGTACCTAGGTAGCTTGTTCTTCGTTAGCTGTGAACCTACAAGATAGGGAAATGCGCCGTGTAACCCTGACTACACAAAATAAACATCATACCACACCTAGCAATTAGCAACAGACAAAACAGGCGACGATGGAAGGTATGAAAAGAGCCTATAGACGTTGACTTAGCGATATAGGTTGTTGTGGTTCGCACTGGCGGAAGTGCTTGGCAAAAAGATTCACCAAAAAAATCAACACCACGACTCCTGGACGACGACCACATGTCCTCAAGAGCGCAAAAAACAAAGAAGCCCGACGTGGGGGTCGAACCCACAACCTTGAGATAGCCAATCGAGTCTGATTAGGACGTGAAAGCTAAGAGTCTCACGCTCTACCGATTGAGCTAGCCGGGCGATGCTATTGTTTGATGGAAGAAGTCGAGATTGAAACGAGTCTATACTCAGATGATGCTGTCTGAGAGTAACGTTCAAGCTGTAGCAAACCAGGCTGCAAGTTGTTGAAGTTTGGGATTGGTGGTTGTGGTAGCAAGGAAAATTTCTTGCGGTCGTGTGGGGCCGGCGGCGGCGGAGGACCGGCGAACATCGTGCGTGTAACCTACATCACTTGTCAACCGAGAACGATCATGCGGACGCTCTTCTACTGTTTGGAGTGATTTACTGGTATTACAGATGAAAGGTATTGTTCGCTAAATATAGTTCAGCCGCGGTATAGGGGCATCCGATGCGCATAGATGCAGCGACGTTGTGTGTCACGACCAACAGCGAGCTTCTGAAGTCGGGTAATCCAGCCTTACCACTTGCTACACACGGGAAGATGTCATTGCTGGCCCTGGGCGTTGATACCGCGAGGCTGGTTACTGCAGTGTAAATAGGGGCTCATGACAATCCAGTTGCACGCCCTGCCTCCCTAGGTAGGCACGCCCTGTGAACTTCAGACCGCTCGTTGATTGGAATCTTAGATCCGGCGTAGAAACACGCCAGCAATGAATTCTGGTTCGAATCGATAGTTGTCCTCCATGTGCTACGTGTACTACGTGTACAACGTAGTACACGTAGCACATGGAGG